TTTGTTTGTATTGATTAATTATGAAAGACATTACTATATAAAAAGATTTAGTTGTTGCCATTTTTCTTTAACCTCGCCCCTCCCCCCGAGAAATCCTGGCTTCGCCACTGTTTCGAGGTACCTACTTTCCAAAACGAAGTTAGTACAGTGACGTGGCTGCAAAGTTTTCTGAAGGAAGAAGGGCAGAGTCCTTTACTGATTGTCCTGGATGATGTTTGGTCTGGATCAGAATCCCTTGTGGAGAAGTTTGATCATTTCAAAACGGAAAATTGCCAAGTTTTTGGTGACATCTAGGTCTGAATTTCAGGGATATGGTTCCCCTTATTATTTGCAATTATTGGATCATGACAATGCGATGAAACTTTTTCATCATTCAGCATCCCTTGGAGATAAGAGCTCTCATGTTCCAAAAGATATTCGAGAAAAGGTAATTTTAGTTGCAACTTGCAATGCATAACATGTATAGTCAAAAGTTAGTTGACTTGGTTTTCGAAAATTATCCAGGACTTATCTTCACTTTACACAAAGCATCCACAATCGAGTGAGTGAACACATCCATTTACCATATAAGTCTGTGGGTAATCATGCATTTAAGACTGAAATTAGAATAAACAAATGTAGATAGTCACCATTTTCTCATCTTAGAAACTTGAATTTGACGCTACAACTTAAAAGGTAGTTGACTTCTGTTGATGCACAAAACCGGAGGTCTTGGAACAACGTAAATCCGGCCGTGAATCTGCATGAAATGTAAATCACACAAGAGGTATCGTGGTTCACCCCAAGGTTTGGGCTACGTCCACACTGATTGTATTTATTTGAGGGAGAGAGAGCTCTGAGAGTGAGAGCGTTGAGAGGGGGTGAGAGGGCCTAGGAATTGGCCTCCCAGGGTCAGAATGAGCATCCCCCCAATTGTGAGGGTGAGGGATCCTTTTATAGAATAAAGACTCCTCACTTATTACATATTTGCCCTTTCCTTTATTACATAATTACATTTAAGTCCCCCGAATATTTATACGAGGTCTAAATACGAGGCCCTAAATATGGTATAAATAGTAGTCCCCAAGTCTTCAGTCAAGATAGTCTTTTGACTGGAGACTTGAAATTCAGTCCATGTGTGGGCCGAAGTAACTAGAGGTTGTCTTGAACTGATGCTTGATATGAGGCGGTGCTTAATCTGAAATGATGCTCAACTAGAAGTAGCACACGTTATGAGGCTGCTCGGCTCGTGGCTTATGTTGCCTTGGTTGGCTCGGCTTGTGGCGTTTGAAAGTGAGGGAGTCCCTTTTATAGAATAAGGGCTCCCTCCTCAATACATGAATGATGGGCTAGAGTTGATGCTCTCTAATGATGGTGAGGGAGTCCATTTTATAGAATAAGGGCTCGCTCATCAATACATGAATGATGGGCTAGAGTTGATGCTCTCTAATGATGGTGAGGGAGTTCCTTTTATAAAATAAGGGCTCGCTCCTCAGTACATGAATAATGGGTTAGGAGTGATGATCGTGGTGAGACGGTTGCTCAGCTGGCGGCGATGCTCTCTAACGAAGGTGAGGGAATCCCTTTTATTAAATAAGGGCTCGCTCCTCAATACATAAGTGATGGCCTAAGTCCCCTAAGTATTTTTCATGAGTGCTCTCTAATGAAAGTGAGGGAGTCCCTTTTATAGAAGAAGGGCTTGCTCCTCAGTACATAAATAATGGGCTAAGTCCCCCAAGTATTTTTTATGAGGCCTAGTTGAGGCCCAATATATGGTACATAATGTAGTCCCCCAAGTCTTTGGTCAATAGAGTCTGTTGGCTGGAGACTTCAAATTGAATCCATGTATGGGCCGAAGTGGCGGTTGTTCGGAGGCGGTATTTGTATACCCTGCACTGAAGCTTTGTGGGTGAAGCTTTTGCAAGTGAAGCTTTGAAGCTAGAGCTCTGTAAGTGAAGCTTTTGAAGCTAGAGCTCTGTAAATGAAGCTTTTGAAGCTAGGGCTCTTTGTAAATGAAGCTTTTGAAGCTAGGGCTCTTTGTAAACGAAGTTTTTGAAGCTAGAGCTCTGTAAATGAAGCTTTTGAAGCTAGAGTTTTTATAAATGAAGCTTTTGAAGATAGAGCTTTTGTAAATGAAGCTTTTGAAGTTGTTTGACATGAGTGATGTTCATGAATGTTTATGTTGATTGACATGAGTGATGTTCATGAATGTTTATGTTGATTGACATGAGTGATGCTCATGGATGTTGTCATGAGTGATGCTCATGGATGTTGTCATGAGTGATGCTCATGAATGTTAACATGAGTGATGCTCATGAATGTTAACATGAGTGATGCTCATGAATGTTGACATGAATGATGGTCATGAATGTTATGTCTGATTGTCATGAGTAATGCTCATGTATAATTTGGAGTACTGGGCGTACTTTTGATCACCTGGTTGGTGGCATGAAGGAGAGTACAGGTTGTACATTTCATCACCTGGTTGGTAGCATGAATGACTAGTTGCCAAATTTAGAGTAGGGGTTGTACATTTCATCACCTGGTTAATGGTAATAGCGGCAGATTGCCGAATAATTTTGGAGTACTGGGTGTACTTTTGATCACCTGGTTGGTGGTAATAGCGGCAGGTTGCCGAATAATTTTGGAGTATTGGGCGTACTTTTGATCACCTGGTTGTAGCTATTTTGGGCTTATGGGCCTTCGCCCTCTACACAACATTCCAGCCCATTTATTTTGGGCTTTTCCATTTTTTTTTAATTACCTTCTGATGGGGTTTATACATATTACCCTCTGATGGAGTTTATACAGATGTTTCCGAAAGATAAAGAAAATAAATTACATCATTTTGGCAGGATGTTTATTCATTGCTTTTGCAGTGTCCCCATGTGCATCCCTTTTGCTTTCCTCTTTTCTGCTTTCTGAAATATTCTCCCAACAACCATGATCTTTTTTCTTTTCTGTTCCTTTCTTTGATCTCTCCACCTCCAGACACACTCATTTGCTTTGGTCGTGCCTATCCATTCTCACTTCTCTTTTTCCTTTTTTCTTGCTTTTCTGTTCCCACTGCTTTTCTCTCTTTCGACAAGATGATGGACGGAAATGAAGCTTTTGCAGGATGACCCCAGCTTCGAGCAGTGTCCCCATGCTTTTGCATGTTTATTCCTTGCTGCTCAACTAAGAAAGTGGAGGGAAAGATGCCAGATCTGCTTATAATTGAGAAATAATATAAAGAAATATAAAGTCTTATCTTCTTTGTGAGTATTTCTCGTGGGTGTTTTTTCAGTGGTCTTGCAAAGCCAAAATACTGAGCAGCAATGGCAATGAACTCCACTTTTCCAACTGTAAATCGATAGTTTCTGCTACCAAATTCCTTTTCATATCGTCTAATTGCGAGAGTGGAGACTTCCATAGCCAATGTCATGGTTTCCAGGAAGATAATAAACTGGGGTATTTAAATATCTATCTGGCAACCTCAGTGAAAAAATATGTCCGAGACGGCTCAATGATTCGCTCCACTCTTCATCCAAAAGGTGAGGATCGCCATCGAAATAGTCACCTAAGAAAAAGACAACGTCGGGCCAGAGAGGAAGTACAGATTGATGAAAGGCCCTGCGTATGCACAAGTCGATGAAGAACTGCGCCAGGTCGAGAGCGAGTGATTTGGGCGGAAGAGGGAGGTCCGGTCCATGAGCTGCGGGTAGGTGCGGCCACAAGCAGATTTGGCAGAGCCGTTCCGTGACATAATCAGGGTCGGCTGTGGAAGAAAGAGTGCGATTGAGGTGCGGCCACGAGCAGGATGAGAAAGAGGGCCTCCAGTAGGTGAACATGTAGCTGTAGATGAGAGTTGCCACCCATATCAGGCAGAGAAGTTCTGTGAGCTCCGCCTGCTTTATATGTTTTCGTCTTGTTTTCCGTTACTTGACTAAGAGAGCACATCTGAAGTAAAGAACAACTGTAAGGGCCAATAAAAAAGAGTATTCAAAAGCAATTTCATCCCAACCGTCAAGAGATATTTCTGAGGATGCACTTGGGCCTGAATTCCCATATGTCTTTGGAAAATCTCATTGGGAGGATTTTAATGTCATTCCAAATGAAGGCATCCTAGCAGATGTAGACAAATAGCATTTAAACACTTAGGTGTGGCGCTGGTGCAGCGTATGCTGCGGTGCAGACGTAGGTACATCCACATGGTGAACAACGACTTCACGCCTGATCTTCGTTAAGTGGCAGGAGAGGCGGTTCGGTGTCTGCAACTGCACCACACCTGACGCTGCTCAGGCTAATCTTTCTGGAAGGACCGAAGGATCTGAAATGGGTTGGTGAGGGGAGAGAATAAACTGTGGTTGAGTTTAGGTGTTTTTATTTCTGCATTTTTTAGAGATGGGTTCTGCAAATTCACGGTGGATATTGTGGTGAGTTTTCACGATGGTGAGATGAAAAAATGAAAGAGAACCGACATAGTTTTTTGTGTCGATTCCCACAAACGGCGCCAAATGTTGATGCACAAAACCGGAGGTCTTGGAACAACGTAAATCCGGCCGTGAATCTACATGAAATATAAATCACACAAGTGGTATCGTGGTTCACCCCAAGGTTTGGGCTACGTCCACACTGATTGTATTTATTTGAGGGAGAGAGAGCTCTGAGAGCGAGAGCGTTGAGAGGGGGTGAGAGGGCCTAGGAATTGGCCTCCCAGGGTCAGAATGAGCCTCCCCCCAATTGTGAGGGTGATGGGTCCTTTTATAGAATAAGGACTCCTCACTTTTTACATATTTGCCCCTTCTTTTATTACATAATTACATTTAAGTTCTCCGAATATTTATATGAGGTCTAAATACGAGGCCCTAAATATGGTATAAACAACTTCATTTCGGTAAATTACCCTGCAGATAGTTGAGCGTTACAAGGGATTTCCTCTTGCTATTACAGTGGTGGGCATATCGCTTTGCGGGGCAGCCTATAGAGATATGGCAAAAAAGAGTACTTCAATGGTCTAAAGGTTTTTCTATTCTTGATTCGGAGACTGAATTGCTTTTTTGCCTTGAACGAAGCTTGGATACCTTGGGTAAAGAAATGGTGTCCATCAGGGAATGTTTTTTAGACTTAGGTTCATTTTCGGAAGACCAAAGAATCCCTGCTGCTGCCCTCATTGATATCTGGGCAGAGTTATATGATCTAGATACAAATACAGAGTGCATTGCAAACCTCTACGAGCTCACCAAACGAAGTCTAGCTAATCTTGTTATTACAAGGTGGGCATGCTTATTATTTTCTCTTGTATGATATTTTCGCTCTATTTTCTCCTTTATATTCACAACTTGTTGCTGCTAATAACTTGTTATTGCAATATGTTGGTTGAAAAAATCTCTTCTAAGAAACTTAGTTTTGATCATGACTAGGAAGGACAAGATGGAGGGGGACGGATACTATAGTGAGCACTTTGTTACCTAGCATGATGTTCTTAGGGAGCTGGCTATCTACAACACAAAAAAAGAACCGGTAGAACATAGAAAAAGACTGATTGTTGACATATGTGGAGACAATCTTCCAAAATGGTGGAGAACAGAAGCATCAGCCGATGAAGGCCCGCTTATTATCCATAACAACTGGTTGTTCCATCTCTCCCCTTCTCTTTAGCAATTATGTGGACATGCACAAATAAATAGTCATCCTTGCACGCGTTCGCACACGTGAACGTAAGTCTTAATGGTAATTTCATTTTAGTTTCTCCTCCCCACTCACAGTTGTTACTTTGCAGACGAGGGGTTTTCAACAAAATGGCACAACATGCAATTGCCAGAAGCTGAGGTTTTAGTCTTGAATTTCCAGACAAAGAACTATGCCTTACCCGACTCCACGGTGAACATGGATGAGTTGAAGGCTGTGATAGTCACAAATTATGGTTTCTTACCTGCTGAATTGAGTAACTTCCAACTTTTGAGTTCGTTACCAAATCTTAAGAGAATCAGATTAGAACGCATCTCAATGTCTTCCATAACCAAGAACCCCATACAATTGGCGAGTTTGAAGAAGATAACCCTGTTCATGTGTAACATCGGTCAAGCTTTCAACAACTGTTACATCTCAATCTCATCGGCATTCCCAAAACTTGAAGAAATGAATATCGACTATTGCAGCGATTTAATTGAATTGCCTGCCGAGCTTTGTGATCTCAGTAAACTAAAGAAGCTCAATGTCACTAACTGTCATAAGCTATCTGCCTTACCTGAAGGGATTGGAAGGTTGGAAAATTTAGAAATGTTGAGGCTAAGATCATGCACAGAACTGTCAAAGCTTCCAACCTCGATGAAGAACCTTGGAAAGGTAGACTTTCTCGACGTATCTGACTGCTTCAGCATCAAGATGCTGCCCGAAGACATTGGTGAAATGCATAGTTTAAGAAAGATCAACATGGGACAATGCTCAAGGTTGCAAGAGTTGCCTCCATCAGTCGTGGATCTTAAGCAGTTAGAGGAAGTGGTCTGTGATGAAGAGACAAAATACTTATGGGAATCTTTCTCTTCGTTTCTTAACAACGTAAGGATAATTGTTGTCAAAGAGAATATCTGTTGGTGTATAACCCTTTAGCTGAAGCTTGGCAGCAAGAATCATGTCTCTATGTTTTGTTTCTGTTTAAATGTGAGCCATTGGATCATAGTCCACATGGCACTTTAATCTTGTATCTAGCCTAAGTAATAGAATAAGCCAAGTGGCATCATCTCATAGGATGATAGCAATGAATGGCTAAGATTGTATTGTATGTTGAAGAGTGAAGGATCTCCCTTCCTTCTTCATATAACGGTTAGATTGTATTGTGTGAAATGAAAATGAAATTCGAAGAGACATTCTGTGCAGCTTCCTCTCTCTGAAACTCTCTCCATCTTTGAAGACAACCTCCATTGAAACACATACTGAAAACACACACACAAACACTAACATGGCCTCAGAGCCTGGTTTCATCGTCTAATCTGGGCGTGAAATCTGTGTGATTGAGCTACATCTTTGAGCTTCAATCGAATCTGGAAATTGTGATTTCGTGTATCCAAGTCTCATATGGCTGGGTCCGGCAATGTCGAGCTTAGAGCTCCCGTCTTCAATGGAGAGAACTATGAATTTTGGAGGATTCGTATGACAACTATACTGAAATCGTATGGTTTGTGGGAGCTGGTAGAAAATGGGTTTGAACCACCAGATCCGAAGTCTGAGAAAGCTGTGGTCGATGAGACGAAGAAGGAGACGACGGATGGAGTGTCGTTCAGTGAGATCCTGATGAAGGATGCTCGTGCGCTTGGAATGATACAAGGTGCAGTATCGGATCAGATTTTTCCCAGAATCGTGAATGAAGAGACATCCAAATGAGCTTGGGATGTTCTAAAGGGTGAATTCCGAGGAGATAAACAAGTAAGAAATGTAAAATTGCAAGGTTTACGTAGAGATTTTGAATATACTCGTATGAAGGATAGTGAATCATTATCTGTGTATCTCTCTAGATTGTTTGATATCATTAATCAAATGAAAAGTTATGGAGAAGAGCTATCTAGGGAGAGAATTGTGCATAAATTACTTATCAGTCTTCCGAAAACATATGATGCAATTTGTTCTGTAATTGAGCATTCTAGAGATCTTGAAATTATTGAGGTGCAAGAGGTTGTAGCTTCTCTAAAAGGATTCGAACAGAGGCTTGATTTACATACTGAGTCTTCGACTGAGAGGGCATTTGCAAGTTTAAATGTAGCATCTAAGGGTGTCAAAAGTGGTGGATTTTCTGGGAATCAAAGGTCTCAAGAGAGTTGGAAATCAAGGGGGAAAAATTGGGATTATAAACCAAACCATGTTCAGAAGCAGAGTAATACTCAAAGGAATTGGGATCACAAACCCAATTATCCTCAGAGACAGAACAATACTCAAAGGAATTGGGATCATAGGCCTAATTATGTCCAGAAGCAAAACAATGCTCAGGGTGATTGTAAGTGGTGTGACAGGTTGCACTATGGGAAGTGTTGGTATGAAGGTAAACCAAAGTGCATAGGCTGTGGTAAGCCAGGTTATTCTATGAGAGACTGTCATGAGAATAAAGGAGTGCAGAAAGTTAATTATGTGAAGCAAATAGGAGAAATAGGATCACTGTTTTATGCCTGCAATGCAGTGACCGATGTGCAAGTCAATAACTCATGGTACATTGATAGTGGTTGTAGTAACCATATGACAGGAGATGAGAGATTATTGGTCAATGTTCAGAGAGATTTGACCTCCAAAGTAAAGATGGGAACTGGAGAAATTTGTCAAGTGGCAGGAAAGGGAACCTTGGTGATTGAAACTAAATTGGGAAGAAAACATATACAAGAAGTAATGCTTGTTCCTGGACTTGAGGAAAACCTTCTAAGTGTAGGACAAATGATGGAAAACGGTTATTATTTGTTGTTTGGAGGTGATGTAGTGAATATTTTTTATGGATGGTCACTGGACAATTTAGTAGTGAGGGTACATATGACCAACAATCGATGTTTTCCTTTGACAATGTTGCCTGCAACACAATATGCACTAAGAGCAGGTATCACACATTGTTCTTAGATATGGCATAAGAGGTTGGGTCATTTGAATGAGAGAAGTCTCAAGGTACTTGAAGAACAGGGGTTGGTGTATGGATTACCTAAACTAGAAATGTCCCAAAGTGTGTGTGAATGTTGCATGTTGGGTAAACAACACAGAGACTCATTCCCTTCTCAATCGACTTGGAGAGCTAAAAATCCACTGGAGTTGATTCATACAGATATCTGTGGTCCAATGCAAGTAGAGTCTCATTCTAGAAACAAATATTTTTTGTTGTTTACAGATGACTGCACAAGGATGTCATGGGTGTATTTTTTGAGAAACAAGTCTGAAGCGTTTGAGTGTTTCAAAAAGTTCAAGGCAATGACTGAGTTACAATGTGGATATAAGGTTAAATGTCTCAGGAGTGATCGAGGAGGAGAATTCCTTTCTGCAAAGTTTGACAAATACTGTAATGAACAAGGAATTCAGAGACAATTGACTGTGGCCTACACTCCTCAACAAAATGGAGTGTCCGAAAGAAAGAATAGGACTGTGGTGGAGATGGCAAAGTCAATGCTACATGAAAAAAACCTTCCATATGCATTTTGGGCAGAAGCAGTGAATACTGCAGTCTATTTGATCAATAGGTGTCCTACCAAAGCTTTGAAGAAGTCAACCCCATTTGAAGCTTACAGTGGTAGAAAACCTGGAATAGCTCATTTGAAGATATTTGGCTCATTATGCTATGTGCATATACCTTCCAATCTCAGACATAAACTGGAACAAAACAGTCACAAGTGTATCTTTGTAGGCTATGGTTCAAGTGAAAAGGGCTACAGATTGTTTGATCCCATTTCAAGAAAGATTGTTCTCTCAAGGGATGTCACATTTGATGAGGATAATTTTTGGGATTGGAACTGCAATATTGAAACTGGAGTGACATTTCCAGTTATCACTGAACATAAGAATGCTAATGAAATCTGTGAAGTTGATGAAAATTCTCAGTTTGAAGAATACAATGTTTCTCAAAGTGAGAATGTGCCTGAGAGATCTCCAACTTATGATGATACACCGAAGAAATGGAGAAGTATCAATGAAATCATGGCTCAATGCAACATGTGTGTTATTGAACCAGAAAGTTATGAGGATGCAGCTAAAGATGATTCATGGAAGAGTGCAATGAAAAATGAATTGGACATGATTGAGAAGAACAACACATGGCAGCTTGTTGAGAGACCATATGACAAGCCTGTTATTGGTGTTAAATGGGTCTATAAGACCAAACTTAATCTAGATGGCACTGTGCAGAAGAATAAAGCTCGGCTGGTGGCTAAAGGCTATTCACAAAAGCCCGGAATCGACTATAATGAAACTTTTGCCCCTGTGGCAAGGTTGGATACGATTAGAACTTTAATTGCCCTTGCTGCACAGAAGAAATGGAACTTGTATCAATTAGATGTAAAGTCTGCATTTCTCAATGGGGTACTGAAAGAAGAAGTGTATGTTGAGCAACCTCAAGGCTTTGTGAAGGAAAGTGAAGAAACAAAGGTGTACAAGTTAAACAAGGCTCTATACGGCTTGAAACAAGCACCAAGAGCCTGGTATGACGAGATTAATGCATACTTCAATAATGCAGGGTTTGAGAAGAGTTCAAGTGAGGCAACTTTGTATGTTAAGACAAGTAAGGACTCAGGTATCATTATTGTCTCTCTATATGTAGATGACATTGTATATACTGGTAGCAGTCCACAAATGCTTGAAGAATTTAGAAATGACATGATGAAACACTATGAGATGACTGACTTAGGTTTATCATCATTTCCTTGGAATGGGTGTGCTGCAAACTGAGAACAGCATTTTTATACACCAAAAGAAATATGCACAGAAACTAATTGAGAAGTTTGGTCTGAAAGAATGCAAATCAGTTGCTACTCCACTTGCAATGAATGAGAGGTTGAGCAAAGTTGATGGAAGTGAACCTGCGGATGAAGGAGAATATAGGCAGCTTGTTGGAAGTCTGCTTTATTTAACTGCAACTAGACCTGATGTGATGTTTGCAGCAAGTATATTGGCAAGGTTCATGCATAATCCCACTAAGAAACATATGGGAACAGCTAAGAGGGTACTGAGATACATCCAGGGAACAATCGATTTTGGTATTGTCTTTGAAAGGGGAAAAGCTACTACCCTAATCGGCTACTGTGATAGTGATTGGGCTAGAAGTGAGGATGATATGAGAAGTACTTCAGGGTATGCATTCACACTAGGATCTGGTATGTTCTCATGGGCTTCAATCAAACAAAACACTGTGGCACTGTCTACTGCAGAAGCAGAATATGTTAGTGCAGCAGAGGCTACATCACAAGCAAAGTGGCTGAGATTTGTTCTAGAAGACTTTGGAGAAGAACAAGTGGAAGGAACTCAGATCTTGTGTGATAATACATCAGCCATTGCTATGGCAAAGAATCCAGTCTTTCATCAAAAGACAAGACACATCAACAGGAAGTTCCACTTCATCCGAGAAGCAATTCAAGCCAAAGAGATTGAGTTAGTGTACTGCAGGACAGAGGAGCAGATTGCAGATATACTTACTAAGGCTTTACCTAAAGATCGATTTGTGTATCTAAGGGAGCTACTTGGAGTTAAATCAGCCAAAGGGTTAGAAGGGAGTGTTGGTATAACCCTTTAGCTGAAGCTTGGCAGCAAGAATCATGTCTCTATGTTTTGTTTCTGTTTAAATGTGAGCCATTGGATCATAGTCCACATGGCACTTTAATCTTGTATCTAGCCTAAGTAATAGAATAAGCCAAGTGGCATCATCTCATAGGATGATAGCAATGAATGGCTAAGATTGTATTGTATGTTGAAGAGTGAAGGATCTCCCTTCCTTCTTCATAAAACGGTTAGATTGTATTGTGTGAAATGAAAATGAAATTCGAAGAGACATTCTGTGCAGCTTCCTCTCTCTGAAACTCTCTCCATCTTTGAAGACAACCTCCATTGAAACACATACTGAAAACACACACACAAACACTAACAATATCAACCTAAACTGGCTCCACAAGACTCAGTTCTGATACCTGTGTTTCCTCAGTGACGTTGCTCTTCAACCTCTCTGATTTGTGTTTCAGTGTCTTCCTATTTTAGGCTATTTCCATTCTCCTTTTCAGTTTTAGCCTTTTGTTTTGTAAATAGTAGTGTGAGATATTGCAGGGTAAAATCAATGTAGTTAACTGAGCCGTATGTTGACAACTTCAAGAAATTTCCAAAACTGTGTG